TGCTAGTAGAACAGTAGGAATTTTCTCAGATTAGTATCCAAGAACCAATAATTTTTAGCAAAACAGTTTCCTTCTCTTCTCTTCTTTGTAACTATATCCTTAAAGGCCAATAATACAGATTCTGGAGCCAGCGTGACTAAGTTTGAATCTACGATCTGCTGTAACTGGGCTTCTGTGAGCCCCAGTTTCCTTATCTACAAGACGAGGATAATAATAGTATCTGACTCAACTGTACCTAACTGTTGTAAGGATTAAATAAATCGATGAAAGTAAGGCACTCAGAACACTGCCTGGGCCAAAAGTATGTACGTGTTTGCAATTACTGTTACAGTGGTCCATAAGCCCTCCGACCTGATGCCAACTACCAGAAAATCCAAAACCCCCAATTTTTTCAACTCTGGCAGCAAAACCTGACCCAAACAAATGCAGGGCTATTTACAGTCTTTAGTTATCCCACTCACTGTAAATATACAGGCCTTTCTGCTACAAATATCTTAATGTATTAGATCATAGGATGCTGCCCCAGACTTCACTTAATTAAGCTCACACAATATTTATTAACTTCCTAAAATCCAGGAAAAAAAAAAAAAGATCTAAATTCTGAAACACATCCAGCCCACAGGTTTTGGATAAAAGATCGTGGACTACATTACCTTTGGAGCCTGAACAATTTCTATGTCCCTAAAATGAACGGCATCTTCTTAAAGAACCACAAGCAAATAGCGCTCTGTGCCTAGAGCAGAGAATTGTAGGATGAAAAAAACTGTACTCAGTACAGTTAGGAGGGCCCTGTACACCCAGTTTGTTCCTTTCAAACAAAATCCATTCATGATATTTTACTTACATGTCATATTAGTCAGAATTTTCCAGCTCTAAATTCTAAGGCTTGCTTAAACAAAGCCTATTCTCTTAACTTAGATCATAAATGAGTGATTAATGCTCTTTGGGGGCATTAATGTGGTCCTGAATCATGCATACCAAATCACAGAACTTTGAGCTAGAAGAGACCCTTGAGAACTAAACTATTACTCTTTCCCTTCCAAACTATTTTATCATCCATAAATTTACTCTCCCCAATGAGGTAAGAATAACCTGCTCTAACTTGTCCTTAGACTCTGTCTATAGGAACACCCTGTGGGTGAATGTGAATAAACTGGGTGGGGTACACTGACAGACTTGGGATCTAAAAGGATGGCTTGAATCTCACACAATAAATCTACACGCCTGGCAAACGTCTCCGTTCATACTTTAGAAAATAACAAGAACTTCCCAGTCCGGAATGAAGAAACACTCATCTAGTACATGTTTTGTTTTGTTTGTTTTGTTTTTTAAAAAAAAAGGCCTAGTTATCTTAATGGACTCAATGAGTCAACTTAATGTGGCTGCCAAAAACGCTACTGTGATTAGGAACCCACTACATCAACAGCAGTACAGCATCCAGAAGGAACGAGGTAACTGCCCTCCCTACCGCAAGCTAGTCAGGACACATCTGCAGTATTATGTTCAGCTCCACACTTTGAGAGAGATGCAGGAAGACTGAAAAAGTCCAGAAGAGGGGTGACCAGGACAGTGGGGAAATCCAACACCATGTCTCGTAAAGAACAGTTGAGGGAGCTGAAGCTAGGTGCTCCAGACTCGGAGAGCTCGGGATCACATCCCAAAGTCCTGAAGAGCAGTCATGGCACAGAGAGAGCGGACTTGTGCATGGCCCCACAGGGCACAGCCACGGCCAGTCGGTGTCAACAACAGAGAGAGAGATTTCAGCTAACTCTTGGAAGTATTTCTTAAAATGTGGGGCCACGCTAGGAGGTAGTGGTGTCTAGCCCTAAAGGCCCGCAGCTTTAAGAATCAAACATTTGTCATCACCTTAGTCTCTTACTTCTGGTAACTACCGTTTTCTGGCATCACAGCCCCTCCCTCAACTCTTCTTAAATGCCTACCCAGCCAACCAATCAGCCAAATGTTTTGCCAAGCCTGTGGGAGGAAAGTGCCTGTTTGCTGGGCAATTAGTTTCAGTTTGCAGATCAGGTCCTTATAAACAAAAGAGGGCCCTAATTGAGGGGCAGGAAAGAGCTCTCAGATAGGCCCCTATGAAAGAAATTCTTCTTAAGTCAAAGAGCGGCTAGAAGACCCATCCCGTCCATCATGTATCATCAAGGGCATTCAGTCCTCACAGAACACTAAGATAAACGCCCAGCACAACCCCATCTTCCCAAATGCCAGGGGAGCCAACTCTGCAAGTCAAACGAGGTCTCTCAAGATCAGCTAGACGCGTGTACTGTTGGAAGCAGACTGGACCCCGTGCTCAGATCAAAAGGCCATCCTCCATCGTGTCACACCCGAAAGCTAAAGCCACCTGGCAACAGGCCCACAAAGCTCAGGTCAGCCGCTGAGGACCAGACACAGGCAGCCCACCGAGAACTCACACACACGGCGAGTACGAGCTATGTTAGCGCTAAGACACAGAAGAGCGACCGAAGTCGGACAGGCTTCTAAGACTTTCATCACCCAAAGACCACGACAGACATAGGTCCCCGCTAGTCCACGGAGCTCGACTAAAGCCTGAGCAGTTCAGATGGCACGTATCAATCAATCCAGCTTTACCCCACGTGCCGTGGGGTCCTCCAAAACTTCAGCTGAAGGACTGGAGAATATGTCCCTGATGGACTTAACAAGAACACATTCTTCTCTGGGCTTTTTAAAGCAAATCCCAGAAGCAATCTAAGTGTCTGTACGTAAGGGATTGGTTTTTAAAAATCACATTATTTTTATACCAAAAAATGTGACTGTCAAGACGAATAAGGTAGATCTTAAGTACGGACATGGGGGGGGGGGAGTTCACAATAAGTAAGCGAATACAGCAAGCTGTAAAACAGTACGTGTAGAATTATTTTGAGCTTTTATAACTATTCTTAAAAACCCTCTGTGTACGTATGTTCATATACGCCCAGAAAAATGTCTGAAAAGAGATCAAACTGTTAACAGTAGTAACCTGTAGGAACTGACAGGAATTAGGAAGCGGTAAAGGAGTGACTTTCACTTTTTCCTTTGTAGACTTCTGGTTGTTTGTATTTTTTGGAAGTAAAGGTCTGTGATTTAAAAACACCAATACAAAAATCATAAAGGGGGATCCCGGGTGGCGCAGCGGTTTAGCGCCTGCCTTTGGCCCAGGGCCCGATCCTGGAGACCCGGGATCGAATCCCACGTCAGGCTCCCTATATGGAGCCTGCTTCTCCCTCTGCCTGTGTCTCTGCCTCTGTCTTTCTCTGTGTGTGACTATCATGAATAAATAAATAAAATTTTAAAAAAAAATCATAAAGGTAAAACACCATCAACTACGCAGACTTATCATATAGTAATTATTCAAAATAAATGATCTTGCTACTAACTGCTACTGTGTGCTTCAAACTAGAAAATCTAATTCATCCTTTTTCTATTATATTTTACTGCTACAACAACAAAATTATCACATTACTACTAGGTCTCTAAAAAAAAAACAACAACAGCAACAAAGAACAACAAAAACTGTTGTCTTTAGGGATCCCTGGGTGGCGCCGCAGTTTGGCGCCTGCCTTTGGCCTGGGGCGCGATCCTGGAGACCCAGGATCGAGTCCCGCATCGGGCTCCCGGTGCATGGAGCCTGCTTCTCCCTCTGCCTGTGTCTCTGCCTCTCTCTCTGTGAGATCATAAATAAATAAAAATAAAAAAAAAACTGTAGTCTTTAGAATAACACACACGTGGTGCTTGCTCTGCACCGGGAACTGTTCTAAGCACCACAAATGTATTAACTTAGTTAATCTTCGCAGCAATCCTATGAAGTAAGTACTATTATTATCTTTGTTTTGCAGCTGAAGAGGGGTTAAGTGACCTGCCCAAGATTACACGGTTAATAACGGGCAAAGCCCGGACTCAAACCAGAGTCCACACTGCGAGCCACTGCGCTTCCTGTCTCCTTAGGAAGATGTCAATCTCTCTATACCAAAGCCAAAAAAGGTCACAGTCAAAATCCAGCTAGTTAATATACTCCTTCAAGCTAGAAGAGACGCAAACTTAGCTTTTTATGGTCGAATAATCTACGTTCCTACTGATGTCAATGCCAAGCTCCCACCCAAGACTCAAGACGGTATCAAGACTCATAATCATGTGGGCAAACTCTCTACAAATTCAAGTATAGTCCAAAGTCCACGCCTGACTCTACAAGCAAATCACCGAGCCTAGGAATCAGGTCAGAGACCCATTAACCTGAGTCCAGCCTGGCCCACAGTTTGGGCCCATCCGCACACCCCGACTTCGGCAAAGGAAGCTCCTGCCTGACGTCCTGACAGGGTAGCTTTGATTTGTTGGGTTCCAGGCCCACGTTCGATTAAAAGGAGGCGAGAACAGGAGTTGTCTGGGACTTTGCTTCCATCAGCAGGAAGAGGAGCGGTCTTCTCTGTGGGTTCGAGACAGACACAGGCGTCCGACGCCATCCTCCGGGCCGAGCACTGTGACGGGGGTGGGGGGGACGGGCACCCCCACTGGCGCTGTGATTTGTCCCAACACACTGACCTTGTAATTGAGGAAGAAAACCACGGGGCAGGGAAGGGATTTAACCTAATTCACAGGCGTGCGCAACCTAGATACACACCTGTCCCACAGGACCCGCCGAATCCACTAATTTGCAGGGAAAACATGGATTACAAAGGCTTTTTTTTTTTTCTTCCCTTTTCCTGGCCTCGAGCGGCCCTCCTGGCGGTGCACGCCCCAGCCTGTGGCCCACCTGCGGGGGCGCCTGCACAGGTGAGCGCAGCACGCCCGGGGCACGGCGGCGGAGGCTGGGGAGGCCCGCGCGGACCCTGGGCCCCTCCGCCCCTCCGCCCCTCGGCCCCGGGAGCCGCCGCCTTTCCAACTTCCCGCAGCGGCCGGGCCGAGTTTGCGGCCGCCGCGGGGTCGGGCGGGGGGCGGGGAGCCCCGTCTCCGCAGGCGCCCGGGGAGGCCCAGCTGGGGGGGGGGGGACTCACCTGGGGGCGCGGCGGCAGGTGCGGCAGGTGCGGCAGGTGCAGCGGGCGGGAGGTCGGTGGGCGGCGGGCCCGTCGGGGTCGGGGTCGGGGTCGCGGCCGAGGTCGGGGTCGCGGCCGGGGCTGGAGTCGGGGTCGCGGCCGGGGTCGGGGTCGCAGCCGGGGTCGCGGCCGAGGTCGGGGTCGGAGCCGGGGCTGGAGCCGGGGTCGCGGCCGAGGTCGGGGTCGGAGCCGGGGCTGGAGCCGGGGTCGCGGCCGGGGCCGAGGTCGCGGCCGAGGTCGCAGCCGGGGCCGGGGCCGGGGCCGGGGTCGGGGTCGCGGCCGGGGCGCGGGGCGGCGGCCGGGGCGTGGGCGGCGCGGGGCGGGCCGCGGGCCGGGGCGGGGCGGCGCCGGGGTCCGGGTCCGGGTCCGGGGCCGCGGGGGCCGCGGCGGCGCGCGGGGCGTGCGGCGAGGGGGGCGGGGGCGGCGGGGAGGCGGGGCGGCCGAGCGGGCTCCCCGGCCCCGCGCCCCGCGCCGCGTCCACCTGCCCCGCGGCCCCGCCGCCCGGGACGGTCCCCGCCGACACGGCGGCGGCGGCGGCGGCGCAGCAGCAGAGCAGGGCGACGGCGCGCAGGCTCGGCAGGCTCCTCATGGCGCGCGGGGCTCCGCCGTGCGTTCACGCGGTCGTGGCGTCGGCCGCTCGGGCATCCCGCCGTCCCCGCACCCGCGCCCGCGCCCGCGCCCGCACCCGCACCGCACCCGGGCCGCCGCCGCCGCCGCGCGCATCGCCTCCTCCCTCTGACAGGCGGCCGGCCCCGCGGGCGGCCCCAGCGCGCAGGCAGCGCCCGGCCCCGCGCGCACGGCCCGCCCTCCGCGACGGGCGGCCGCGCCGGCCAATGGGCGCCCGCGCCGGCCCACGTGACCCGCCCGGGCCCCGCCCCCGGGCGGCCCCGCGGGCCAATGGGCGGGCGTGCGGCGGGGGGCGGGGCCGGCCGGGCGGGGGGCGGCGCGGGCGCGTCTGCGGCCCCGGCTCGGGCGGCCGCGGCTTTGTCTGCCCGGGGAGCGGGGCGCGGGGCGCGGGGCGCGGGCGGCGGCGGCGGGCGGCGGAGCAGACAAAGGACGCGCCCCGCGCTGCTGCTGCTGCCCCGGGCGGGGTCGGCTCCGGGAGCGCCCGCCCTGCCGACAATGGGGCGCCGCGGGGGGGGGTGGGGGCGGGGGCGGGGAAACTGAGGCCGCGGGCCCACAGCTGCTGCGGGGGACCCGCCCCGGTCCCCGAGGGCGCCCCGGGGCTCCGGCGGCCCGAGCGAGCGCAGCGGCTGCCCGGGGGCGCGGGGGGCGCAGCTCGGCGGGGGGGACCTGCCGGGCGGGGCTCGTCGTGCGCGGCCTCGGGCATCTGTCCGGCGGCCGGAGGGCGCGGGGGGCGCGGGGGGCGCGGGGGCGCGGGCCGCGCGGTGTGGGGTCGGCTCCCGCCGTGCTCGGAGGAGCCCGGGACGAGAGGCGGTGCGCGCGGATGGAGCAGGTGCAGATCCACGTCCTGCTCCCGCTTCTCCGGGGAAGCAGGTGGACAGGCCCGTCCGCGGCCCGCGCCCTCCTGCGCGCCCTTCCCGGCCGTTCAGACCCCGCCGCGGACCCACACTCCCAGGAGACTTCCCTGGGGCCTGGGGGTTAAACGCCCCCTCCCGCTTGCCCACTGCCCTTTGCTTATCCGCTGACGGTAGTCCCGGTGGATCGACCTCTCCCGGCCTCTCCCTAAAAGGACTAAGGACGGTTTTCAGAAACAGATAAACGCGGTGAACAGAAGCGCCCACGCGGCTTCTTCTCGTCCCGCGGGCGCGCGTCGGCCCTGGTACCAGAACCTGCCACGTAGGCGTCTGTGTCTCCCACCAGGGCTGTTCTCTCCGTTCTCGGGGCCCACGGGGCTGATGCTGATCAAACGGGGTCAAATTGAAAAGAGCCTGTGGCGCCCTGGAAAGAGCTCATCGCCCGACACTTAGGGTCAGGCAGATCTGGCTCATGACTTGGCCGGATGTGTGGCCTCGGAGGAAATCTCTTACCTTTCTGAGTCTCGGTTTTCTCATCTAGAAAGTGGGTCAATAAATTCTGTCTCACTGGGCTAAACTGAGAATTGGAGAGCGGTTTTCACAGAGCCTGGTGGACAGAAGGCGCCCCCCCCCCCCGAGGGCCGGTTGATTTTTCCTTTATCCCAGTGCTAACTTTGAGCCTTGCTGGCTGAAGGACCACAACAAAACCTCTGCGTCACAGCTTCCCCATCAGGTGACATGGCCTGACAGCCGCCCTACCAGCTATCTGCAGTGATAGCCGAGAAACGCTGGGCTGGCCCCGAGATGCGCTAGATCAGAGACTCCCGGCAGCAGGGGGAAGAGCTGAGGCAGCTTCTTTGCCTGGAGATTCACAGAAAGAGACGAGAAGTCCTTAACCAGAGTGATCCCGGCCTGCACTCTGCCTCGGACAGGGATTGGCCCAGGAAGTTGAATTATTTTGAAAGACAGTTTTAGTGTATGACTGACCATTCTTTCAACATTTGATTCTTTAAATTGTTTGCTCTGCCTCTAAATCACAAGATGACTTGTTTTTTTTTTAATCTCTTAGGAATAAAGGATGCCTGGGAGGGCCCAGTCGGTTAAGCATCTGCCTTTGGCTCAGGTCATGATCCTGGAGTGAGTCCCACGATCGAGTCCCATGCTTGGCAGGGAGTCTGCTTCTCCCTCTGCCTCTCTCTCTCTCTCTCAAATAAGTAAATAAAATCTTTTAGAAGAAATTAACATCTTATTAATAATATTTTATGTTTAACAGTCAGAAACACTAGGGGCACCTGGGTGGCTCAGTCGGTTAAGCGGCTGCCTTCAGCTCAGATCATGATCCCAGGGTCCTGGGACGAAACCCCACGTCATCATTGGGCTCCCTGCTCAGCACAGTCTGCTTCTTCCTCTCCCTCTGCCCGCCTCCCCTTTCATGCTCTCTCCTACTCTCTCCCTCTCTCTCTCTCTCAAATAAAATTTAAAAATCAGAAATACCTTACATACCCACTATCAAAGGTATTAGTATGTCTGTTCAGTTTCATCATATAAAGTCATTACAAGGGTGGCTCTGAAGACAATATAGTACATAGTCATAAGAGCTCATTGAGCTCTTACTGTGTGCTAGACGTTACACCAAGAGCTACACGTGAAATGTTTCCTTTAATCCTAAAAAGAACCCCAGGAAGAAGGCACTATTATTATCCTTATTTTACAGATAAGGAAACTAGGGCACAGACAGGTTAAGCCACTTGCCCAAAGATACTTAGTAAGGGATAGAGCCAGAAATCAAACTGAGGCTGGCCAGCTATCGTAGCTCCCTTAACAACTGTGCTGTAAAGGGAAAATGATGATGATATAATGTTAAGGAGAAAAGGAGCGGGGGGAATTATAGCTCTGACTCTGTGTGTAATAGAACGTTGGCTGGCACTTTCCCTGCTGCTCCAGAACTGTGGCTAAGACCCAGGGCTCTCAGGAGAGCTGTCAACCCACCCATGACCTATGGGGCCGCGGAACGGCAGGGGTCAGAGAGGAGGAGCAGCATGAGCTTTCTCCTGTAGGCAATGCGGACGCTATAAAGTGCCCTATCGGATTCCTTTTGTGTACTCAGTACTTAGCACCGTGTCACACACACAGGAGTGGCTCAGGAATTGTTTGTGGAGGGGCGCCTGGGTGGTGCAGTGCGTTGGGCGACTCAACTCTTGGTTTCAGCTCAGGTTGTGGTCTCGGGGTCATGGGATCGAACCCTGGGTCCGGCTCTGCACTCAGCACAGACTCTGCTTGAGACTCTCTCCCTCTTCCCCCTCCCCAAAGAAATAAATAAATCTTAAAAAAAAAAAAGAAATTGTTGGTTGAACTAAATGGAGCCTCACCAAATGGCAAACACTGTATGAATGCAGTTTTGCATTCATAACGTATTTATTCTCAAAAGGTAGGGCCGTCCCCACACTGCCGACCTCTGAAAGGTGAAGGGATTTGCCCAAGCTCCAGCCAGTTCCGAAGCCCAGGCTCTCCTCAAGACTCCACAATCCATTCACGCGGCCACTGTGTGTTGCACATAGTAGGAGGTCGGTGGACATATGCTGAAAAAAAAAAGGACACATACGTACCACATTTTACCCCCTTATACAAGCAGAATTTAAGAAAAGAGCAGCTTTGAAGAGTATGAAAAGAAGAGAAAGAATAATAAAAAAAATAGATGCAGCTCAGCAAAATAACTTCATCTCCCAGATTCCAATAAAACATGGAAACTTTCCCCTTTCTGTTTCATTGAAACAGCAATGCTGACATGGACAATTTCTAATCCTGCCGGAGCCTGGCCTCCTATCAGATGTGGCCAAATGCAAGCTCTGGCATCATCTGCAGACAACTTTAGGATTATTGGGGCCGCTATTAACAAGTCTGCCCAGCAAAGGGCACTAACAGAAAACTCACACGGGGGGTACAAATGTCTAAAAAACACGAAATGCTGTATATTCAACTTAAGTAATCAAAGATTTGCAAATTGAAACAATGAGTTACTTTTTTTTTAACCTGAATTTCAGGCAAGAATTTTTAGAAATTGATAATACTAGCTGGTGAGGAAGTGCCTTAAGAGTGTAAAGTGAGGGCACCTGGGCGGTCGAGCCTCTGCCTTCGGCTCAGGCCGTGACCCTGGGGTCCTGGGATCCTGCCCCATGTCGCTCCCTGCCTGCTGCTCCCTCTCCCTCTGCCGCTTCCTGGGCTCGTGCCGTCTGTCTCTCTCTCCCTCAAACAAATAAATAAAACCTGAAAAAAAAAATAATTGCCCAAACTTGGAAGCAGCCACGATGTCCGCCAGTAGGTGAATGGATAAATAAGCTGGGGCGCATCCAGACAATAAAATATTATTCAGTGCTAGGAAAAAAATGAGCTCTCAATCCATGAAAAGATATGACGGAATAGTAAATGCAAAAGCAAATCACATTCTATATGATTCCAGGTGTGGGATGTTCTGAAAAAGGGAAAACTATGGAGACAGTACAATATATTATGATGGCTACATATCATTACACATTTGTCCAAACCCATAAAATATAACACTGAGGGTGAACCACCGTGTAAGGTACGGACCTGGGGTGACTATGACGTGTCACTGTAGGTTCATCACTCGTAACAGATGGACCAGTCTGGTGGGGGATGTTGAAAGCCGGGGAGGCTGTGCTTGTGCGGAGGCAGAGCGTATATGGGAAATCTCTGTCTCTTCCTCTCAATTTTTCCCTGAACTGAAAACTGCTCTAAAAATAGTCCTATGAGGGACACCCGGGGGTGCTCAGCGGTTGGGCATCTGCCTTTGGCCCAGGGCATGACCCTGGGGTCCTGAGATCGAGTCCTGCATCGGGCTCCCTGCACGGAGCCTGCTTCTCCCTCTGCCTGTGTCTCTGCCTCTCTCTCTCTGTGTCTCTCATGAATGAATAAAAAAATAAAATAATTTTTAAAAATAGAGGATAGGGCGACGCAGTGGCTCAGTCAGGTAAGCATCTGACTCCATCTCAGCTCAGATCTTGATCTCAGGGTCTGGAGTTCAAGCCCGGCATTGGGCTCCACACTGGGTGTGGAGTCTACTTTTAAAAAAATGTAAAAAAAAAGGGGGGGGGACTGTTTATACTATGATCTCAATGTAGGATATATGTAAAAAAGACCAAAAGGAAAAACACCAATATAGGAATAATCTTTGTCTCTGAATGTTTGCGTTGTGGGTAAAGGTTTCTTCTCTTATTTTCTTGCATTTTCCAAAATTTTTTTAAGATCTTATTTTTCTTAATATTTATTTATTTATTTGAGGTGGGGAGGGGCGAGGGAGAGATGATCCCAAGCAGACTCCACGCTCAGTGCGGAGCTGATACGGGGCTCAATCTCATGTCCTTGAGATCATCACCTGAGCCAGAGTCAAGAGCCAAACATTGAACCGACTGCGCCACCCAAGCGCCCCTTAAGATTTTATTTTTAAGTAATCTCTGTGTCCAAAGTGGGGCTCAGTCCCGACCGCGAGGTCCAGAATCGCCTGCTTTACTGACTGAGCCAGCCAGGTGCCCCTGTGTTTTCCAAATATCCGTTCACAACAAACACATGGCCCTTCAACGGGGAACCACCAGCAAGACAATTCACCTGGCTGGGGGGGAGGTCGGCCAGCCACATCCCTGACCCGCCTCCGCGGTATCTCAGGAGGATGAGAGAAGGTCCTTAGTCATAAACTCACATTAAGTGCAAAGCACCTTCCCCAAACAACGAAGCCAAATGTTGAAGTCCCGCTTCAAAGTCCTTCTAGAAGATGCTAAAAATAAGCCCAGAAATGCATTTGCTGCCGTTCTCGGAGACCTACTGAAGGACGTCATTCAGGGTGGGCACCAAGGCAAACCCTCGCTCGTCATCAGTGTTGGCCGTAGAGCAAAGAATGTGAGCCGTTTGGGGGACGAATGGGGCCAAAGCTTCGAAAGTCGCTCTTGCCCTTAGATTGCTGGAATCGTAATAAAGGGGATCGCTGATAGGTGCAGAACACAAGCTTTCACTATCATTATCTCACTTGAACTTTGCAGTCACTCTGGAGGGAGGATGGACCAACAGCAGTAGTGATAATATTAGATAATAAGTCGCCGACCAACACTTACCAGCGCGGGCGGCGGTGCTGGCCGCTCCGTGTACATTGGCCCTTTTTTAGTCCTTATACTGCAGAGTAGGAGTGATCATCTCCACATCGGTCGGTCAGCACATCGTCCCTTAAAGAAGTCAAGTGGCTTGCCCAAGGTCACCAAGCCAATAAATGGAAGAACTAGGGCTTATGGCCATTTATTTAATCCTCAAGTCCAATGCTCACTGAACTTCCTCAACGTTGATTATCTTTTACTGCTATTATTAGGAAAGATATCGGTGTGGCATAGAGTTCTGTGTACGACGCGGGCCCTTCTAGCTGTATAACCTTGGACAAGTCACTTGGCGGCTCGTGTGTGGCAACTTCCTCCTCTGTAGAATTAGGGCCACAACATCTATCTTATAGGGCTCAAGATCAAATAAAACCCTGCCTAGGAAGTTGAGCCAAAGCCTGCCCAGAGAAAACATGCAATCGACACTGGAACGCGTCTGATTCTCCTGAACCTTTTCTTCTTACGTAGTGGGTCGAGTGCAGGAGAGCAAAGTGTCCTTGGGGTTCAATATCCAGAAATTCTAGACTCTCAGAGGAGTCTCCTTGACCCGCTTGCACAACCTCACCCTTCTTGAGGACCCCCCCACCCCTTCATTAGAGTGCATACCTGTTATTGGAGTGGGTACCCTGCATCCAGCACTGGCAGAGAGGCAGGAGTGGGCACTTGACTCCTTGGGCCCCCCCGAAAAGTCCAGACCTTTAGAACTAAGAAGCTCTTTGCTGAAGAAGGGCCCTGGCTGGCTCAGTCGGGAGAGCATGAGACTCTTGATCTCAGAGTCCTGTGCTTGAGCCCCATGTTGGGTGGAGAGGTTACTTTTGGAAAAAAAAAAAAAATATATATATATATATATATATATATATATATATTTCAGAAAAGTTCAACAAAGCACCTTTAAAAAATATAATATATATTATCATTTATATATATAATATATATATATATATATTTTTTTAGATGCTCTTCGTTGAACTTTTCTGGATCAGCTGTGCCGACTTCATGCTGGTTTCTGAGGCCTGGATGTAAGGAAGCTCAGTCCTGGAGGAGCAGACGTTTCACAGGAGCAGCAAGAGCAAATATGAGACGGGAAGGGGCTCAGGAATCAGGCCTGCAACCCCGGCATCGCACAGACAAGAAGCCAAGATCTAGAGGAGGAAAAGGCCTTTGACGGGCCCTCCCTGCACCTTCCTTACAGAGCCGGGATCGGATCCACACCCTGTGACCCTCGGGCCACCATCAGACCACGTCATTCCAGAGGGCAGCTGAGGCAGCAGGCACCCCGAGTGTCCTGGCCGGAACCCCAGGGCCCTCCCATCCACGGCACTGCCCTCTGACTCCCGGCCCAGGGCTCTTCATGTCATGAGGGTCTCTGGCCGGGCGCTTTCCCTCCCGGAGTCACTGAAATGACGCCCTCCTGCCCGCTTTTTATCAAGGCTCCAGGCAATAACCGAGTCTGCCCTCGCAGCAGCCAGGACCTCAGGAACGGCAAAGCCTTCCGAAGGAGGCCGCGTTGTTGTAAGGGAGCTAGAAACAACGTCTTCCCCTCGTCCCGAGCCCTAAGGTAGACGGGCTCTGGAGAGGGTCCTGGGGGATCCAGCCTGCGCTCGGGCCGGTGGGTCTGATTCCCTTTCTCAGTCACTGCACCTGCCTTACGATCGCTGGGTGTGTACTGGGTGTGTACTGGGTGTGTACTGGGTGTGTACTGGTGTGTGCGAGGCCTCCGGTGCGCCCCGAGTTTGGAACTGGATGGAATCCGCAGCCACGCGCGGGCCGTGCTGCTTCTTTAGAGACGGATCGTGGAACCTCTGCCTTCCAGTCCCGTGTCAGCGTCTATGAGTCAGCCCGGCCGGGCTCGGGGGGGGGGGGGGGCTGCGTCTGTCTCCCCTCACGGCCAAATGGTCCAGCGGGAAAAGTTCCGCTCCCAGGCCCCGGTGACAATCAACCTGTCTACGCGTCTGTCCTTGCAAAGCGCGGGTTCCTTCCTGCACTCACCAGAAATGTAGTAAACACTGATCTAGGGACACCCTCGTGAACAAGACACACCCGACAGTAACCGGTGCTCACGATGCTTACACTACAGCACCTGGGGGGCGCCCGGATCATGGTCTCAGGGTCCTGGGGTCGAGCCCCACCCCCACGTGGGCTCCCTGCTCAGCGGGGAGCCTGCCTCTCCCCCTGCGCTCGCTCTCTCCCTCTCAGATATATAAATAAGATCTTTAACCAACAAGATGGCAAGTGAGATAGCGAATAAACAGGAAAATAAGCAAGATATTCACAGATGAGTAACAAGCGGCACAAAGGGGATCAACAGGTGCTGGGACACAGAATGCGTGGATGCGGCCCCTGGGGTGGGCAGGGCGGCCTCGGAGGCCGGAAGGAGCTGGGAGGAGAGCTGAGCAGCGCGGCCGCGGCCGCGGGGGAGAAGGAGCTGGATGAGGCAGGACCCGCTCTGCAGAGCTGCCCTGGCAGCCGTGGGGTCTTCTACGAGCAACGGGAGGTCTGGGGAGAGCGCCGGGGGGGGGGGGCGGGGGGCGCCCTGGGCGGGGGCAGGAGCAGGGGCCGTGGGAAGGCTGCGCGGCCTGCGGCCGACGGACTGGCCCAGAGGCACAGCCAGGGTGGACCTTACACACGGCCTGTCGGGACTTGCTCTGGGCTTGGGTGTGGGGCGAGGGGGAGGGAGACACAAGACTGATTCCCCGGTGGTGACGACGGGTATCAAGGGGTCACTGAGGCTGTCCGTCCGGGAACACCAAGGACGGGAGAGTCACCTGCCCCCCCTCCCTGGGGCCTGTGGCCGCTAAAGATGGACCAGTGAGCGCAGGGAGGAGGAGGGCTCGGGGTCATAGGCCACCGCTGTGAAATAACTAATGCCAGCTGTGCTAACCTACCCACGGGGGTGGAAGGTTCTGGTCTGTGAAGCCCCGATGAGGCGCCGGGGACGCTCCCGGCAGAAATAGGCTCCCGGGTCCTCCCAGAAGACCGAGGCGCCGTCAGGCTCCCCACCCGGCCCTCGGGAAGGCCACACTCCGCGGCCACACTCGGGCTCCTGCACCCGGACCTCCCCGCCACCCCCACGGCCTGCCCGGGACCCGCTGTTGGCCAGGTGGCAGCGCGGGCAGCAGATGGTGGAGGGACGTCGAAGTCAGGGAGGGCGACGTAAAGGACACCGAGGCGCCGAGCACACTGGAGAGAACGGGAAGCACGGCGGGCCGGGCCGAGTAGCATCGTGGTGACTGGAGCCCGGCGCGACTGTGCAGGCCGCGGAGCCCGTGCAGGCTGCGGAGCTGGTGTGGGCCGCGGAGCTCCCAGGCGCACCTCCGAGCTGGAGGACAGGTGGCCTGCACCGCGGGGAGTGGAGGGCCCAGCCAGCCCTCGCCCTGCCCTGAGCCCCGCGTGGCCTTGGGCCCGGCCCCCCCCAGACGGGAGCAGGCAGCACAGGCCCGCCAGCCCTTCCGGGGGAGCCCGAGCGGCTCAGGCAGGACGGCAGACCTGCTGCTGCGGACGCAGCCAGAAACCGCGGGGCTCACCGCAGCCGCCGGGGCCTGTCTGGACTCTCCTGTGGCTCCAGACCCTCGGGGCTTTGTCGCACCTGCTCCGTCCCGTCCGTTGGTTTGGGATTCACTGGCCCGAATACAAAGCGTTGGTCCGGGCCGCAGCAGCGGGGCTCCCCTGGTGTGCTGGGGCTCCACGGGGAGCAGAGACCCACAGGCCCCCGAGAGACCCTTTCCCGTCCAAGCACTGCGATCCGAGCCCTCCTTGCTGACACGGAACTTTGTATCAGCTGTAAAGCACTTTCATACATTTTTAATTCACATATTATTTCTTCTGTCCCTAAACAATTCCTGGACTACTCTGCACAGGGTAGGGTTGCTGGATAAAATACAAGACGCAGGTTAAATTCGAATTTAAATAATGAATAATATTAGTATGTGCCAAGTATTGCATGGGACACACTTATGCTAAAATACTACTCACTATTTATCTGAAATTCAAATCGAACGAGGTATCCCCTCACTTCCTAACTCTGGCAAGCTTCCACAGGGACCGCCGGCCCCACTGTGCAGAAGTGAGCTCAGAGGAGTGAAAGGGTTTATCTAAAGTCCTTGGGAGGGATCCCTGGGAGGCGCAGCGGTTTGGCGCCTGCCTTTGGCCCAGGGCGCGATCCTGGAGACCCGGGATCGAATCCCACGTCGGGCTCCCGGTGCATGGAGCCTGCTTCTCCCTCTGCCTGTGTCTCTGCCCCCCCTCTCTCTGTGTGTGTCACTATCATAAATAAATAAAAAATTAAAGTCCTTGGGAGCCGGGACCACGTGTGATTCACTTTTTTAGATTTTTAGTTTTTTTTTTGAAAACTGCAGATAGGGGATCCCTGGGTGGCGCAGCGGTTTGGCGCCTGCCTTTGGCCCAGGGCGCGATCCTGGAGACCCGGGATCGAATCCCATATCGGGCTCCCGGTGCATGGAGCCTGCTTCTCCCTCTGCCTATGTCTCTGCCTCTCTCTCTCTCTGTGACTATCATAAATAAATAAAAATTAAAAAAAAAAAAAAGAAAACTGCAGATGGCATTCCCCTAAGCCAGTGTCAGTCCCTTCGGCGGTGATCTGAGAGATTTACGCCTCCTGCAAAGCCTGCTCCACTGACGGTCTCTGCCCTGTGCGTGGGGGACACGTCCGATCCTATGGCATTAAGGAGTTGATGTTTGATCCCCATATGCAACGTGGAGTTGGCTCAGAGAAGAATCTAGGGGCGTGCTCACCCAGCTGCCGGGGCCTCTGAGCCTACAGGAACCCCCAGAGCCAAGCGCAGAGCTGGCTCAGGACAGAGTGGTCGGCGGGACTCCGACTGAGGCTTCGGGCTCGTCCTGGGTGGTTGCACCGGAGACAGATTCAGATGCTTTCCCGGAAAGCAGAGACACCTGCGGAAGGTCGCGGAACTCGGGAGGCCGGCCCGGCCGCTGCCCTGCCCTCCGGAGCGCTGGAGCTGGCGGGGCTTGGGTCGCACTCCGAG